CTATACTGGTGTGCACTCCTCCCAGTTCCTACTAGTTCCTCTGGGACTCTACTGACCACAACGAGGCCATACTGAGTTTTTATTGGGCTGCATAAGAGTCATGTTCACTTCTCTGTTGCTTTACTTCAATTAACCCCCATTCAGTTAACCCCATTCACCCCACTGGGTGACCCTGGTGTTAGTTTCCTAAAATTTGGATCTAGGAGGTGACCACTCCCTTTGCTTATGATGAAAGCACAGAAGTGATGCAGGCACTCGCTGAGGTCACAATGGTTGCTGGGGTGGGAGCGTTCGTGCCACAGCTGGTGAGCAGAGCTGGTGCTCTCGTGAGCGTGCTGCACGCAGAGACTGAGCTCTGTGCTTTTCTTGAGAGAGATCACCCTGTGAGAGCCCATTGGAAGCACCACTGCGGTGTGTGTGAGCTGGGCACAGCTCAGGCTGAGCAGTGACCAGGTGAGCTGGGTTTGGTGCTGGGTGGTTGCCAGTGGTGTCTCAGCAGAAAAGCTGGGCTGGGGAGGAGTTCTCAGCTCCAGCGCTGCCCTTCTGAATGGCTGTTTCCAGAGGAAACATGTTCTTCTTGAGATTCCATCCCACGTTTCAGTGAGGATGACGAAATGTCATTCCTCCCCTGGAAAATTGCTGCCAGGTCCCCACCTTCATGTCAGACCTAAAAAAGGAAGCAGAGCACAGCCTTAATAGAGTGCAACTTGTGTCTCACTGCTCCATGGATTGCTTGGTGTGCCATACCCAGCAGGTGTTTCAGCAAACCGTGCTGAAGTCACGACAGAGAGCCGGGTGCTCAGCTGGGCACATGGACAGTCAGCACACCTGTGGGGGAAAAGGGGACCTGGGGGCACTTGCTGACAGAAGCCATGGCAGTCAGACACAAGCTGCAGCTAGTGATGGGCAATTCTTGCAGACAGCTGATGTCCAAGCATTGCCCTCCTCAAGAGACTACATTGCATGGCAGAAGAAAGCTGGGAAAATGCTTCTTCCTCATGATTTTTCACTTGTTGATACTTTCTGTAAGGGTTCCTGTCCAAAAGGAGAACTCGGAGATCAAGGCAGTTGAAGAACAAGTGAAGCCAGCTCCTAAGAGCGAAGGAGGTTCCTGTGGAGAGAACCCTTAGACCTTGCAAGTGTTCCTCTGACACTTCAGCCATCATGGCTCAGCAAGGAGATGACCGTGGTTCTAATTCCTGTTCTGTGAGAGGAAAGGTATGGCTGGGTTTCCTTTGCTTGATGTTTCTTTCTTTTTCCCATGTTTAAGGGAA